ACAGCAGAGGTTTGCAGATGTGATCCGCAGACTGCAGACATTTTGTCTCCGAAAAAACAAACAACACCTTAGTGAAATTGAGATAATTTCATTGAACTACATTTGTATTAAATGAGATTTTTTTAGAAATAATTTATGGGAATATCTCGAATTTTAATTCTTAGGCGGAAACATTAATTAAAAAAAATAAAAAGAAGTCTCATTTTTTTTTTCAAAATTTATGTTTTATTCAAAAGAAAATTTTTAATTAACTAAACATGAAAATGTATCTTAATCGTCCATTTGAACTCAACCGTTGTCTTTTGACCTTTGTTTGTTATGTATAACATAAGACTGGAGGAAGTGGAGAGGTAAACCCTTGGCAAGGATGAGGCGGAGGAAGGTGGCGGAGGTGGAGTGAGAGGTGGTTGAGGTGGAGGAGAAAAGTGGTTAGGTTTCCTTTCTTCGGCTCCTTGTTGTTGATTCTCTCTCATCAACAAAGGGTTGAAATGGGAGAAAATAAGATGAAGGGGGAGGTGGCTGTGATTGACTTGACGGTTAGGTTAGATTCTGGTTGGCTGGTTGGTGGGTCATAGGTTGACGAGTTGGCGAGTCAAAATACATTGACACAACCCAACCCATATAATATAATGGGTTGACGGGTTGGAAACATTAACTCAACTCAACCAAATAACTCGTTTAAGTATATGGGTTTGCGGGTCAGTGGGTCGATTCCGCACAAATAGTCGACGTATCATTTTCGGGTAACTTCATGTTAAATTTACACGAATTATACACGTCTGTAAATTAATTAATAATTAGCATTTTGTTATTGCAAAGTTAAACCCAACGGGAGGTTTGGGTGCGAATGTGCGATGTGATTATGTCATGCCTCAGCCTCTCACGTCTGGATCTAGAATTGGATTTGGGGTTAAGAGTGTTAGGACTTAGAGCACGTCGTATATTGACAATACTCCATTAATTCATAAACAAAATTTTATTTTTTTAAAATATAAAATATATAGTCGGGCTGACGGATTGACCTACGAACCCAAACATGTAACACAACCTAATCCATGAAATAAACGAATTAGCGGGTTAGAAATCTTAACACAAACCCGTTTATTTTTGTATCGGATTATGGGTTGGATCGAAAATTACTGTGCCTAATCCTTGGTACCATACCCCAACCAAACAAGCCCTATCTCGTATGCTATGAATGCTATTATTTAATGGGAGCGATGTCATCATTGGCACATTTTTTCATCTCACCTTATATTTGCCTTATTTTGCTACGCCACTATTTTTTTTAGCCATGGGGAGGGGTTGCTATTTTGCCACACTTTTCCATTGTTTTTTTTAACAATTAATGGTATATTAGAGTAACTCTAATAAATAAAAAAAATGAATTAGTGTTTAATAGTATTTATTGTGAGGATGAAAATAAACCATTATAAATTTTATTTTACACTCTAAAAATAGAGTGTGGTTGGAGATATTCTTAGGTTGGTATTTATATTATCTATTTTTACATTTAACATTTTCGGCTTCCTTGTTGCTTACTTGTTCAATCGTGCTCGCCAACGTTTTAGAAACACCCATCGGCGCTTGGTGGCGTAGCCAAGATTTTATTTTAGGATAGACCAAATAATTTACAAAATACAAACGACATATAGAATCTGGAGTTTTTAATGGGATGGATCATAACACACCTTTGCCTCAATGTGGTTATGCCTTTGTCGCCACTTGTAAAACCATGTCAAAAGTTCACGAAGATGAAGAAACATTATATGTGAATAGTTGAGAATAAAGTGTTTGCTTGATATAAAATAATATAGTAGGTTGGTGTTTATAATGTATAGAAATTAAATGTTATTGGCTTGTTAAGAGGGAGCTTTCTAATGGGGGTTATTGATTAAGCATAATGGAGATGGGACGGTTTGAACCGAGCCACCTTAGCAATGCCGATGGGTGGTGCCGAGCCACTCCCCTGGCCTAATATTGTCTTGTATAACAATTACATCCATTAAATCACTTGCAGTTTTGAGTTGAAAGGATAATCAAATCCAATGTCAATGAGCTAAAATAATAGATTGTACACGTTTTAATTTTGTGTTAAATAATTTCATTACATATAATTTCTCATTTTTTTGGAAATGCAAAACCGAGCCCACAGCATCGTCATCATGAAGTGAATGTGGTTGTTTTGTTGCAACAAAATCACTTTATGATAATATAAACTTTATCATGCAATCCTGTTCTTGATTTAGAAGACAACGTCTTAAATAGGCATGAATAACTAATCCTTAGTGAGTCCGTAAAAATTCAATGAAAATTTAAATTTCATTTTTTTTAGTAATTCTGAATACATCATGAGTCAAACACTTAACAAAAATGAGGGATTAGGACAATTAAGCCATCCACAATAGGTATCATGATGGTGTTCGTGGTCTAGATGGCCACGAACCACGACTGTGCACACCACTTCGGACCTTTGTGGTTGGACGTGGTCGTGGTGTTCCGTGAAGCCAAGAACAAGCTACAACGGGTCTGCCTTCTTCGTTCTTCTTTTCTGGTCGTGATATGTGTACCAAAGTTGGTTCATGGTTCGTGATGGCTAGGTGGAACCGAAAATGGTTCGTGTGGTCCGTAAGAAGTATTACGGATGGCCTTATATGGTCCAAATCTAACATTCACAAACAGTGAAGGGACTAGTTTTGTAATTCAGTCGATTAAATTAATATAAAGGTTAGGTAGAGTATGGTGTCGACTAAAGCGCTTTCTCCAACTACTTCAAGAAAACAAAAATTGGCATAAATGAATGGAGTAGAGGTGTTGGGTGAATCGAATCCATCTGGCCGGTTCAGATATTAAATAATGAGTATGAATGCATGATGATCACCAAAACGCGGCTAAGTTACATTTGAGTACCCTACATATCATATTTTTACACTTCCGCCTACAAACTTTACAGCTTTTCATATACCATCAGTCATATTCACCAACACAATTTATTGTAGTTCATGCCTCCTCTATGACTTATTGGTTTAAACAGAATACATTTTGAGAAACCATAGTAAATGTGACATATATTTTTATTTTTTATTTTTTGGTATATTTATAAATTATAAAATTATTAATAAAAAAGTTATTGGATACTATGTAAGTATATATGTTGCGTTAAAGACCCGATGTTTTCTTGAGCAAAAATTGTACTCTTTTTTTTTATTATTGTATAACTACGACTTTGACTTTTATAGAAATTTTATAACAATTTATCAACATAAGAGCATTCCCAATTATCTAATAAGAGTTTTTTTCTAATAAAAAACATAGAATTTATCGTTAAAATGTCTTTTACCATTAGGCTATCTCGAGTGAGGTTGTGATAGAGTCGTTATAAGGGCGTTATGGATGTGAAAACCACTCTCAGTTGGAGTAACGGAGGAGTTGTTGTGGTTAGAACCACGATTGACCACTTCCTTCCTTGTCTATCTCTCTTTCTCTCTTAAATGTACAAGCTATTAAAACATAAAGTACAAACATTTCTAAATGTGTGATGAGAAAGTGATAATGATATCACAGCTAGGTGACAACACTTTTAAAATGGTCAAGTGGCGACCATGTAAATAATCATTTTTATGAACCGTTAAATTTAAGAAACAACTCTTTTAGTTTTGAATTTAGTACATTCAACCTTATTTATTAAATAATATTTTAATCAACTCTTTATTTATATTTAAGATTCAAATCTTTATAATTTTTGGACAATTAATTTGTTTCATTTGATCTCCACTATCAAACATTATATTAGTAATGGTCATACAATATTTACATCGTCTTTTATTCTTATAATTATATATATGTAATGAACTAATCTATTTTTTAAAAGAAAAAAAAATCAAACATAAGTTGTCTTTTTCTTTAATTAATTTTAACTTCTTAAAAAATTAGTATATTTTTGTTTAATAGCAATTACTTATTGAAATACTACGTAAAAAACTAAATAACTATAAATGAGATGGACAGAAATAGAAAGTATAACAAGATTAAAGTGGTTCAACAACCAGTTTGATGATGCAAAACTTGCATTAAGTTATTAAACCTTGACTTTTCTTGATTGTGAATGCTTAATAATGTTAATAAAATATGTTTTGCGGTGGCTAACTGAGGGACCAGCCGCCACAAATGTCAAAAAGTGAGGGGTTATTTATTTGTGCTTCAAGAAATTTGGGGTTTAAATAGAATGTCAAATATAGTTTAGGTAGTGAGACTGTAAATTTAAACATTAAAATAATGAATGCTGATTGCTAACAAACCTAGACTTGGACTCATCATGATGGCAGCCCAAGAGAGAGAAACAGATAGTCAAAGAGAGATCTGAAAATGGTGAGGGCACCTTGCATCGACAAAAATGGCATGAAAAAGGGCGCTTGGAGCGAAGAAGAAGATAATAAGCTTCGAGATTACATTGAACGCTATGGCCACTGGAATTGGCGTGAACTTCCCAAATATGCCGGTATGATTCATCTTCATCCCCTTTCTTTGCGTATAACAAGTTCCAATACACAAATTTGTGTAGAATTGTTTGATTTATTGAAACTTAAGGAAAATTAGCTTAATTATTTGTTTGATTTGATTTGTATGTATGTATGTATGTATGTCTGGAGAATTGTTTGATTTATCGCACTAAAGCAAAATTAATGTGCAAATCAGATTAATTTTGTTTTGCATCGACGGAAGATCTGGTGAGGTGCTGAATTTAATGTTAATTGGTGATGTAATTAGGTTTGTCAAGGTGCGGCAAGAGTTGCAGATTGAGATGGATGAATTATCTTAGACCAAGTGTGAAACGCGGAAATTTCAGCAAGGAAGAAGAAGATATCATCATCAAATTTCATCAAGAGATTGGAAACAAGTATGCGATTTGTTGAATCATATTTGAATTTGATTTTTTTTAGTGGCTATCTATAATATAAAGATTTTCTCACAACGATTTACAGATGGTCTGCGATTGCAGCACAATTACCAGGAAGAAGTGACAACGAAATCAAGAACCACTGGCACACCCATTTGAAAAAACGAAGCACCAAACAAAATCACCACCTTGTTCTTGTTCATGAACTGAAACAAGAACAACAACAACAACACCAAAGTTCAAACATTCAACAGAATCGGATTATAAACTTTGCTAGTGTTGTTTCAACATCAAGTGATAACAGAGTATCCAACGAATCAACATCATCTCATAGACTTTCAGATGATTCGATGTCACGTCCCTCGTTACAGCAGCAGCGGTTGTTATTTGATTTGAATCAAGAATATGTAGAGTCATGGGAGGAGGATTCTAAATCTAAATTAGGTAAGGAGGAGTTTGAATGTTGATACTTGAAAACACGATTTTAATTTTTAGGTAAAACAAACAAACATAGAATTTAATGGAGTTCTAAATTAGGACAAATCTTGCTTTCCCCAATTAGAGGATTGAAAAAGAAAACGCTATCCAAAATGTTGTTTTTGTACATGAACATTAATTTTCTCAAGTTTTGATATATATTTGTTTTTTTTTTTTTTTTTTTTCTATTTAGAATTTGGATCTCGAAATTACAAGAGTTCTACTTGGCAATGTTTTATTTGGTCGTTGTCGTAGGTTTATCTAGATTTGTGTTTAAACTGGTTGTTAAGATTTGAAGCTGTAATAATCTGTTTATTGCGTTTAATAAAAATCAATTAAGATTATGATTTTTCTTTGTTAATCGGATCATGTGAAGAACCAAGTGAATTAGACAATATACGGTATAATTTAGTGAAGAAAAAAAATGTAAATTGTTCATTCCGTTAAAATGAAAACATGTAAATGGAACACCCTTAGAGACAACACTACAACAATGTCTTTTGTTGTAGTCAGCTTGTCGGAGATCACCGAAATGGCTAACATAGATGGGTTTTCGACGATGGTATCAAGTGGTGTATTTTCAATCAGTTTCTCCGGGGAAAATTGATCCGTGATCCCAACTTCCTTTCCACTTGTAGATGGCCATGAATGATCTCTTCTTCGCCATTTATTCTAATGCAAATTCAGAGGAACTTATGTACATCGCCGTGAACTGATTTTGTAGTTTGGATCTGATTAACTTGCACCCGGTAAATCTTATTTTTGCAAAATTGTGATGGTCCTCTTCGATTTCTGATTCGGGTGATGATTATGATTAACAAGTGGAGGAGATGGTGGTGGTTGTAGCTTATCACATATCGGATGTGAAGGTTGGGACGACGGTGGACTTTGATTTTCGTAAGATGTGGTAGTCTCCATTGATGACAAGGTTAGGGGTAACCGGGTTACCATTTTAGTTTTTCGAAAAAGGACCATTGTAACCGACAACAAGAACCCTCTTGCGCTACCCACACTTGTCGCGACAACCGCAACTACCTGAATCATCCAAACGGATGTCCAAAGCCTTAAATCTCTCACTTCTGGTGGTGCCTGAACCTGCACCTGCTCTTTCGTCTCGTGCTGCATCTACATCCCAAATTTGAGATCATATACCTGATCCCTCACTCTGCTCCCCTCGAAAAAGGGAGGCTGGAAGAACATAACCTTGTCGTAGAAAACAACATCCTGAGCCATCACCCGACCACTCAGCCTCAGGCTGCAATCTTCAAGTCGATCATCACAATCGCTTCCTACCTGAGTCTCGCAACTCAAACTGTCACTACTCAAACAAGGTCCTCGATACCTTAGAATCAACCAACTCACACAAGTATGCACCATTCATACCCAATCTGTCATGGCCACTGAGGCCCGGACAATTACCAGACTTGTCCTCCTCCTGAACAACCATAACCGAAAGACCAATAAAGACGAAATCATATTGCAACGAATAATGGTGCCAAACCATGCTATCTACCATCAACCATCTCCTTAGTAACATTTTCAACTCTTCCTATTCCTCGTACGAATCATATGCTTCTGGTAGTATTGGGCACATACTACCTTCCACACCTATCCGTACTCGTCCCAAGAATTGTCTCAAGGTTCCCAAGTCACTACTCATGACCACTACGAACCATTCTAATCAGATATACCCGTACTCGAATGAGTACATACCACTAATCTTCCTAGATTCTCCTTCTAGGACCCCTCTTACGCAAATGCCCATACATGCGCATTATAACATTTTCCTAGGTTACTAGGAATTCCCACCCCACCCTGTTATGTGACATCCCCAATTTTCACGGTCCGAAAAGACCTTTTATTTATGTTTATTTTAAAACAAAGTATTCTTTATAAGTGCGAAATTTGTCCCATTAAAAGTATTTCCAAAGAAATGTTTTTCATTGATTATTAAAACTTGGGATGTCATAACTAATACAAAACATAAGCATACACATAGTCATTACATGCCTTACATTAACTTATTGTACTAATGGCCTAAACTCCTCGAATCTCTCACTGAATTGTACATTCATACCACTACCTGTGATAAATAGAAACTGAGTGGATCGGGCTTGGGAGCCTAGTGAGCACATAGTGGTATGAAGGTACAATTCACTAGGCTCCGTCGACTAATTCTCATTTCATTTTGAAAGTTATATTTTAGAGGCTTAGACTGTTAAAGTCCGTATAAAAATCATAACTCTCTCATATGATATCCGTTATCGACTGTCTTTAAATCGACGAATAGGTATTGACAAGATCTTCAACTATCTTGTAGATTGCATTTCCTAAAATTCGACCGATTTCAATTCTGTTTTTTGTGTCGCACATTGTTGCGCTGAAACTACGAAAAACCACAACTTCCTCTCACGAAGTCAGATTTGGGCGTTCTTTATACATACAAGTTTGCTTTTACGATTACAACAACTTTTGTTTATATTTCTTAGGCTAATAAGCAACATATCTCTGATTCACCTTTTTATGACGCGCATAGTTTGTGTTGTTTTAATCGCGAAACTTCGAAGAAGTATAACTTTTTCATACAAAGTCAGATTTAAGCAATCCTTATATCATCGAGATAGTCATTATGACTACTATGTATTTATTTAATATTATCTATTAAATCTTAAATTTCTAGCTTGAATCTACGGGTGTTACATGCTATCAGTTGCGGAAGATACTTCTACGAATGTTAGCTAACTATTTTTCGAATACAATTACATGCAGCAAAAATTAATCAGTCTTTCGACTAAAAGATCCTGGACTACAATGTTTGGAATCAAACAAGAGCTACGCAATAGGGCCAAATAAAGTTTTTTAAGACCATTTAATCTTTGTGGCATGCAACCTAACGAATTCGCTTACTAGATAATTAATACCAATATAGGTTTCACATAGCACAAAGCAAGCAACATTCGCCCAGCAAATTCATCAAGCAATAAGGCATCCAAAAGACCAGGCCATTCTAACATGCAATTCCTGAAATATCCTTAGCCTATACACTTGTAACATCCGGATTCCTAGGTATGTCATTTCAAGTATTTATTTTTGAGGATCATTAACCTACTCGACGAGTTGGCGCTATAACTCGCCGAGTAGAGTCGGGATGGCCACGTGGGTTTAATGATCTACTCGACGAGTCCGGATGTAGACTCGCCGAGTAGGCGCTGTGAGTTGAAACCCTAAATCCCCGCGTTTGGGGCCTATATAAGGATAAGTATAGCCTCATTTGCGGCTCTCCATTTTTTTCCTTTCACTGAGAGAAACCCTAATCGCCCCCTTGAGCTTTTGAGAGAGTTTTGAGCCATTGTTTGAGATCTTTGGTGCATTTTGGTAGAGAGAAAGAGGATTCCAAGTAAGGATTGTGAAGAAGTTGCTAGATCTGCTGCTTAGACATCCATGAGCTTCTATTCAAGGTATAAAGTTCGTACCTTTATCTCTTGTATGGATAGATCTCATGGTTTTAGAGGTAGGGCTCCATTTCCATATTATTTTGGGGAACTCACTAAGCATTCGTGCTTACCGTGTTATGTGTATGTGTTTTAGGTACTTCCGAGGATTGGGGGAAGGCACCGACGTGATTGTACACATACTCTTGATATGGAACTATGATTGTGGATCCTGGATTGAATAATTGTATTGAAAACTTCTTGTTTGTTTTTGAGAATTAATGATGAGACATATGTTTATGAGTTTAAAATTGAAAATTTTGTTTTGAAAAATTGTATCGTTACAACTTACAAGTTGGTATCAGAGCCTTGGTTTGAGGGATTCGAATACACCTTCGAGCATATCTGGACTCAAACTGAGGATTTGAGAAAAGTTTTCAAAAAGAAACAATTTTTCTAAAAAGAGTAAAAGATTTCCAGAACGAGCGGAAAAGTGCAGTGTGTACAATCAGCCAGCGCCCGAACGGTGATTTCCCAAAATACCCTTACGTTACGTGTTATGATAT